GAGCGCCTGAGTGCGCTTAAGAATGGCCTGATGAATCACTATGCAACTAACATAGCCAGCACAGAATTCCGTTTCATTACTGATAGCTTGTCTTCATGAAGTCAGTACCACAGGGAAAGCGCAAAGGCAGACTTGCGTGTATGCAAGGCCTGCTTCACAACTCTCCAGACTGATTCACACTAGTCTATTATTCAAAGTCATACAATAATGTAAAGGCTAGTCTACCCTGATGACGACATGACGAAATCAACAAAACCTACACAGTATTAAACTGTGATGGTAAACATTCTGTTCATTTATCAGTCCAGCTCAGATTCAGGAAAAAAATTAGAGTCCCACAGATTATTTCACATCAAAATTCGTCACATGTATACCACACTCAACCGTGGGTACTCACTAAAACGAAGGACCGCGAAGGACTGAAGGACCGAATCAAAAGACCGAAGGACTTAAACGGGTGTAATAACTATAAAACGCTGATGCGAATTACGTTGTTATACGTTGCATTTGTTCACAAATTATGCAGTAGCGATTAAATTTACAAAAATAATAAAAAAGCGAAGGACCACGATTATATTATAAATATGAGCGAAGGACCACGTTTTTATTAAAAATATGAGCGAAGGACCACGTTTATAATATAAATAAGAGCGAAGGACCACGACTACGTGATAAATATGAGCGAAGGGCCACGTTTATATTATACATATGAGCGAAGGACCACATTTATATTATAAATATGAGCGAAGGACCACGGTTATATTATAAATATGAGCGAAGAACCACGTTTATGTTATAAATATGAGCGAAGGACCACGATTACGTATTAAATATGAGCGAAGGACCACGTTTATATTATAAATATGAGCGAAGAACCACGTTCATATTATAAATATGAGCGAAGGACCACGTTTATATTATAAATAAGAGCGAAGGACCACGATTACGTGATAAATATGAGCGAAGGACCACGTTTATTTTATAAATATGAGCGAAGGACCACGTTTTTTTAAACTATGAGCGAAGGACCACGATTATATTATAAAAAAGAGCGAAGGACCACGATTACGTGATAAATATGAGCGAAGGACCACGTTTATATTATAAATATGAGCGAAGGGCCATGATTACGTGATAAATATGAGCGAAGGACCACGTTTATGTTATAAATATGAGCGAAGGACCACGATTACGTATTAAATATGAGCGAAGGACCACGTTTATATTATAAATATGAGCGAAGAACCACGTTCATATTATAAATATGAGCGAAGGACCACGTTTATATTATAAATAAGAGCGAAGGACCACGATTACGTGATAAATATGAGCGAAGGACCACGTTTATTTTATAAATATGAGCGAAGGACCACGTTTTTTTAAACTATGAGCGAAGGACCACGATTATATTATAAAAAAGAGCGAAGGACCACGATTACGTGATAAATATGAGCGAATGACCACGTTTATATTATAAATAAGAGCGAAGGACCACGATTACGTGATAAAAATGAGCGAAGGACCATGTTTTTATTGTAAATATGAGCGAATGACCGTTATTTACGTGGCTAATATGAGCGAAGGACCACGATTATATTATAAATATGAGCGAAGGACCGTGATTACGTGACAAATGTGAGCGAAGGACCACGTTTATATTATAAATATGGGCGAAGGACCACGTTTTTATTAAAAATATGAGCGAAGGTCCACGATTATATTATAAATATGAGCGAAGGACCATGATTACGTGATAACAATGAGCGAAGGACCACGTTTTTATTGTAAATATGAGCGAATGACCGTTATTACGTGGCTAATATGAGCAAAGACCACGATTATATTATAAATATGAGCGAAGGACCGTGATTACGTGACAAATATGAGCGAAGGGCCATGATTACGTGATAAATATGAGCGAAGGACCACGTTTATGTTATAAATATGAGCGAAGGACCACGTTTATATTATAAATAAGAGTGAAGGACCACGATTACGTATTAAATATGAGCGAAGGACCACATTTATATTATAAATATGAGCGAAGAACCACGTTTATATTATAAATATGAGCGAAGGACCACGTTTATATTATAAATAAGAGCGAAGGACCACGATTACGTGATAAATATGAGCGAAGGACCACGTTTATATTATAAATATGGGCGAAGGACCACGTTTTTATTAAAAATATGAGCGAAGGTCCACGATTATATTATAAATATGAGCGAAGGACCATGATTACGTGATAACAATGAGCGAAGGACCACGTTTTTATTGTAAATATGAGCGAATGACCGTTATTTACGTGGCTAATATGAGCGAAGGACCACGATTATATTATAAATATGAGCGAAGGACCGTGATTCCGTGACAAATGTGAGCGAAGGACCACGTTTATATTATAAATATGGGCGAAGGACCACGTTTTTATTAAAAATATGAGCGAAGGTCCACGATTATATTATAAATATGAGCGAAGGACCATGATTACGTGATAACAATGAGCGAAGGACCACGTTTTTATTGTAAATATGAGCGAATGACCGTTATTACGTGGCTAATATGAGCAAAGACCACGATTATATTATAAATAAGAGCGAAGGACCACGATTACGTGATAAATATGAGCGAAGGACCACGTTTATATTATAAATATGAGCGAAGGGCCATGATTACGTGATAAATATGAGCGAAGGACCACGTTTATATTATAAATATGAGCGAAGGACCACGTTTTTATTAAAAATATGAGCGAAGGACCACGATTATATTATAAATATGAGCGAAAGACCACGATTACGTGATGAAAATGAGAGAAGGACCACGTTTTTATTGTAAATATGAGCGAAGGACCACGATTATAATTAATGTGAGCGAAGGACCGTGATTACGTGACAAATATGAGCGAAGGACCACGTTTATATTATAAATATGAGCGAAGGACCACGATTATATTATAAATAAGAGCGAAGGACCACGACTACGTGATAAATATGAGCGAAGGACCACGTTTATATTATAAATATGAGCGAAGGCCCACGATTATATTATAAATATGACTGTGCGAAGGACCATGACTACGTAATAAAAATGAGCGAAGGACCACATTTGTATAATAAATATGAGCGAAGGACCACGTTTATATTATAAATATGAGCGAAGGGCCATGATTACGTGATAAATATGAGACATGGATATGTTGTTTCAGTGTTTACCGTACGTTTTGTTTTGGCGATTTATTTGATGATTCTTTTCACTTTTCGCCAATAAAAGGCAAGTAACAAGCAATTGGACCAATAAATTGTTGCTGGTTCTCCTGCTCTTAAGTATCTAAGCTAATTCAGGAATGATGAGAAAACTTGTTTTGACTATCCCATTGCGTGATTGACACAATGATTGTGAAGGATTGTGATGTGATTGTGACAATCCCTTCAGGCATCCATTCCATTGTTTTTTGTTTATTTATTCAGCCAGTTTTTCGCGAGACATCAAATCCATTGTTCTAGTTGTCACCTACACCACTATCTGTCTCTTAGTTCTTTGTTTTATCGCCTGTCAATTAATGAGAGGTCTCTCAATAACGTCGTCCGGACATCTTCTGGGACTGTGAAACAGCCTGTCACCGAAAACAAAGGAGGGTGCTAAAGATAAATAGAGGGGCGCTACAAATTGAAGAGGGGCACAAATAAATTAAAGAGGGGCGCTTCGCCCCTTAAACCCCTTGTGGAGAACACTGAATACTCAACTAACAATACAATGTATTTGATCAGGGCGGGAAATGTGAATGCAGGGCGCTTGTAGACCGATGCAGGGCGCACGACTACCTTTGTAGGGCGCACGACTACCTATGCAGGGCGCACGACTTCCTATGCAGGGCGCACGACTTCCTATGCAGGGCGCACGACTACCTATGTAGGGCGATTGTAGACCGATGCAGGGCGCACGACTACCTATGCAGGGCGCACGACTTCCTATGCAGGGCGCACGACTTCCTATGCAGGGCGCACGACTACCTATGCAAGGCGCACGACTTCCTATGCAGGGCGCACGACTTTCTATGTAGGGCGCACGACTACCTATGCAGGGCGCACGACTACCTATGCAGGGCGCACGACTACCTATGCAGGGCGCACGACTACCTATGTAGGGCGCACGACTACCTATGCAGGGCGCACGACTTCCTATGCAGGGCGCACAACTACCTATGCAGGGCGCACGACAACCTATGCAGGGCGCACGACAACCTATGTAGGGCGCACGACAACCTATGCAGGGCGCACGACTATCTATGCAGGGCGCACGACTTCCTATGCAGGGCGCACGACTTCCTATGTAGGGCGCACGACTACCTATGCAAGGCGCACGACTACCTATGTAGGGCGAACGACTTCCTATGCAGGGCGCAGGACCACCTATGAAGGGTGCACGACTACCTATGCAGGGCGCACAACTACCTATGCAGGGCGCACGACTACCTATGAAGGGTGCACGACTTCCTATGCAGGGCGCACGACTACCTATGCAGGGCGCACGACTTCCTATGCAGGGCGCACGACTACCTATGCAGGGCGCTGCGCCCTGCTAAAACCCCTCGTAGAGAACACTGAATACTCAACTAACAATACAATGTATTTGATCAGGGCGGGAAATGTGAATGCAGGGCGCTTGTTGACCTATGCAGGGCGCACATGAACAACCTATGTAGGGCGCACAACTTCCTATGCAGGGCGCACGACTACCTATGCAGGGCACACGACTTCCTATGCAGGGCGCAGGACTACCTATGCAGGGCGCAGGACTACCTATGCAGGGCGCACGACTACCTATGTAGGGCGCACGACTACCTATGCAGGGCGCACGACTACCTATGCAGGGCGCACGACTACCTATGAAGGGCGCACGACTTCCTATGCAGGGCGCACGACTTCCTAAGCAGGGCGCTGCGCCCTGCTAAAACCCCTCGTAGAGAACACTGAATAATAAACTAAGACAACAAATTCTTCAGACCTAGGCAGTTTATTCCAGAAACGATTTGTGAAGAAAAAGCCAGTGACACCAAGCTTTTACATGCACAATAACTCGAATGAATACCTTACACTATTATAAGCCAGAATTACGGGCGAACTAAACTAAAATTACAAACTACAGAGGGGTGAACTTGTAAGTCAACAATTTTTATACAATATAACTTGAGAGTACTCAGCGATGCCATCAGCAAATGATAGCTCTTGAATTTTACTGTATCTCCTTTACAGTTTTATTTTACGTGTACTTCTTGACACATTTTAATATCATTCCACAAGCTAAATACTAGATGTCAGTTTCTCCAAACCTATCAACAACAAATTTAAGAAAAATAGTCTCTAAAAGTTAAAATAAAAATAAAATAACATATTTACATCTGACATAAACTGTGGCATCAGTACAAAAATCGGATTAGACTAGAATCAATGCAAGCAAAAATGTATTGATGGAGAAAAGTGTCCAGCAATAAATATTCCAAAACAGTGTATATGATACATAAATTTTCATAAACATTTATACAATGTGCTGCCAGGTTTTAGTTTCAGTAAAATACAATTTTAGTCTAGGTTTCATATCATTTCCTTGGACTAGCTCGCTGCAATATAACTGGACATCCTTTAATGTACAACTCACAAATTTTGAAAAAGTCATTACTGTGTCTGTTCAAGGGTTACAACCTCAACAGCATGCGTCGCAACTGGTACATCAGTTTCCATGGGACTACCTTCAGTTGTGTTTGGTGCCATGGCAACCTGTGGCACACCCTCCTGTCTGCTCTGGTGTTCCTGTACATGTTGTTCTTGATTGCTTATGTGGTGATGATGTTGTTGTTGCTGTTGTTGTTGTTGCTGCTGCTGCTGTTGTTGTATAGTTATATGGTGAGAATGTTGTTGTTGCTGCTGCTGGTGCTGTTGCTGCTGCTGCTGCTGCTGTTGTGCATGCTGTTGTTGTTGGTGTTGAGAGTTAGCAATACTTGTGACGACAGTCTGATACATAGATACTGGAATAGTGACCATACCACCTGAAAAAACAAGAGCAAACATTCATCAATAACCGAAACAAGCACTGAGTTCACATATTATCGGCCCAGCAATATTCTATATTTTCCTGGACTTGCTTGATCCTTTTAAACCAGTGGTTTATTAAATTCCCAAAAATTGTACTCCTTGTCAATACAATTGACTTTAAAAAATAATAATAGAAAATAATAGTTGTACAGGGATCACCACCACAAACGTTGATGGCCACAATAGCCGGCACACACCCATTAATCGTGGAATAGAATTTGTAAACATCTATGGTAGTATTTTAGTGAATGGCAGCCATTTTATCAGCATTATAATGTTTTTATCATATTTGCTCTATTAGTAGCCCACATTCTTACATATCGATAAAGGTGTGTCTATGGTCAAAGTAATTCATATTATGTCTACTAGAGACACTACTAATAAATCAAATATGTTACTGTAGATGGATCACAATAGTAAATGCACATGATAAAGACAGATAAATGTACTATTAAATTAGCAAATTAATTTGTATTAAAAATTAACATAGCAGAATACAACACTGACATGCATAATCATGACATTAAAATTTAAGACTAACCGTGTGTCTCGTGTGCTCCAGAAAGTGCTCCAACTGCCGCTGCTGCATCACCCGACAATAGTATATGCCCACCTTCAGATAAAGTAGCTTCAGCTAATGTTGCCACTGCTTCTGCTGCAGCTGCACTATTAATGTCTATGGATACAGGTGTAGCTTGGGGTGCTTGAGGTAAGGCAACTTCACTCTGTGTGGCTGCTGCAACTTCAGCTAAGGTAGCCACTGCTTGTGTGGCTTCTGCCTGTGAGCTGTTATGGTTGTGCTGATGCTGTGTAGCAAAGTTGGTCTATAATCAATTAATTAAGATTCTTACACTATTGTAGTAGAATGACATATCTATCTCAATTTCCATGCTATAAATTGGTGAATCTGCATAAATATACGACCTAGCCAAAATTAATGTAGATAGAATAGATCTAAAGTGCATGTAAATTCTGCAAACAGTAGACATTTACAATGTGATTCAATTCAATCAAACACAATGAGATTAAGAACATTCACTCTGATATTGTAATAAAGACTACTTACCTGGTGCGCAACAACATCAGCCGCCGTCAATGCTGTAACTGTTGTGCCTGGATCTACCTGTATCAGTGATACTGTTCCATCAGGATTGTTGATGGTTTGAAGGACTGTATGAGATTGGACAATATGATGGGAGGCTTGTTGAGGATGCTGCACGTTTGGAGAGTCATCAAGGAATTCTATAAGCAGGTCTTCTCTTCCATGGTGTTTGTAACAGTTTTTTACTATTGTTCGTAGTGCATGGGTCCATGATACCTGAATTTAAAAACATAGCACAACTATAATAACTTTGCCCATGATGTGAATAATTTGTGGAAGTAAACATTTTGTAATAAATAAATGTAAACCAGTTAATTTAAAAACATAAAATAATTGTATATGAGTGAAATGTGAATGATTAGAACCGTACAACATGGTGACTTGGTTTAATATTACCAAGTTAAATGATGAGGGAAATAAAAATTTGTTTTTTGTTCTAAGCAGTTCAGTTTTCTTTAATTTTTTTAAATAATTTGACAAAAACAAAACTTTTTTAAACTGAAGCACGCACTGACAAGCAACAAATCTTTGTGACCACAAGTGTTAATTTTATTATTTATTTTAAATCATTTTAACTGTATAAAAACAAGAACTGATTATTGAATATTATGAAGTTTATCTGATGAATTTACAGGTCAATTATTAAAACAAAATATGTGTTTGCTTAGCAGTATTCTTCTAACCAGCATAACAATAACAGACAATAAAGATAAGTACAATTTTTATTGATATGCAAATACCACAGACACTGTGGTTCAATTTTCTGGTCCCTTATTCAATAGTACATGAATTGTATTAATCTCGTGGTCTCCCTTAGAATGAAACTATACATATGTCCCCAAACAAAATATACATTACTGGCCAAAATTTTAGAGGGAATTTTTTATTTCAGCATTTTCAAAACTGTATTTTCCCAATTGTACACTGCTGCTATTCTTGTCTGTCATGTTATATCTTGTCTATAGGAAAGAAAGCTAACCCATGACCATATGATGTGAACTTGATCATGTGTATTTAAAATGAAGCAAAATGGCTTCCAGCTATTAGTCATTTTGGATTACACAATAAGAAAATAGCCTGACCTGCATGTTGTGCGGGATGGTATGATGAGCTTCCAGTGTTCTCTCCAACTTGACTTCCCAGGATGGTGGCTAATTTACATATGAATGGTGACTAATTAGCATATTACAATAAACATAATTAACGTATCAATAACTAATATTAATTGCAGGACCACTAAAATTAAAAGGCCCTTTGGGAGAACACTGGGTTCAATAGCAGGGGAAATACGATGTGTTTTTAGAACCAAAACACCAGCCAAATCGCATAAACACACTGATACTACTATCCAGGGTTCTCCCCAGAGTATTAAAGAGTAGGGGTTCCCAACCGTTTAATTTTTGATAAACAATAACAATGAAGACAATTAAATGAGTATTTAATATCACATTGTTATGCAAATTAACCGAGACTCTATGCTATTTTTCTGGGGAGAACACTGTTATGTATGAATAAAGCCACTAATATTATTATCTATTGTCATTTGAACTCTGTAGACACACGAAAAAGTATAAAGGTTATTATGATTTGTGCATAATTACCAAAAATAAAGAGCACATAGTATGTACTAAAATATAACATTATAATTGCGAACTTTACCTTTTGTTTTTGCTCCTCACTTCTTGCATCACTTCTAACATTCGCCCAGGGCAGATCTGAAGGCCACCAAACAGGTCGACATGATTCTTTCCCCCATCCTGGCTTACCACGCCCAGTTGAGTATTTAAGCATCATGGGAATAAATGCACGAAGTTGTGCTTGCGTCATTTTATCAACTGGAGTAGGAATGCCATCGATGACCAGAGCAGGCAGTTCATGTAGATTAGAGTTCTCAGGTGGTGGGGCAGGCGCTTGCAGTGCAAGAGCATTTTCTAGCTCAGACATAATAACATTACGACAATTTCGAACCTGCAACAAATACACAAGTCTGGTATTATACACATGTCCAGCCTATCACTAGTTGCATTTATCATGGGCAGCATGGCAGGTGTTTCTAATAAACTAGTCAATGTCAGTGACATAGTCCTTGTCCAGTTTTTAATGACAAATATAAACAATTAATGATAGATACGGTAGATAGATTATAATTAGATTAGGAGGGAAAACCCAAGCTTCTTTCAGTCAAAGTGGCCTCTCCTAGCAAAAAGACAATCCTTATATCCTACAAACATAAACCACAAGTAAACCAATTGGATATTTTGAAACAAATTCCTGAATAAAACATCATTTGTATAAAGTTGGCCCAAGCATGCCTGAAATAGTTGATGACATCTTGAAATCTAGTGATAAAGGTTTTTTGGACAAAAACAACTGAGAGCATTCACACCATTATATCTTGCCTTTGTACCAAATCTAGACAAAATCAGTGAAAGAGAATCAGGGAAATGATAGGACACAGTTGGACAAAGCATGGGAAAATTCGTCGCATGATAAATAGAATAAGTCAATCATTTTGACCTATAACAATTTATTCAAGGTCATTAAACCCAAAATACATGAACCTACCACGTTTTCTAATGGAGCTGCACCAAAGACTTTGAAAGCAGCGCTGGGTTTGCCAGGTGCACACAACATAACACATGCTTGTTGTCCAACACGGGTTGTGTATTCATCAATGGTGACTTTTAACTTCCTGCAAAAAGAGAACAAACAATTTCAACTTTATATCCAAATGATATGAATTTGATAAAATTGTGATAAAATTAAAAAATGACAATAACTGTTTGAGATGCCTATTTCAGAACCCAATGACTGCCTTTCACTTTCACACAATTAAAGAGTGATGCTAAATTACTGTACTCATTTGACTTACACCTCCTTTCCCCCCACACACATACACTTTGGGGCATTTTTATTTTGGGCTGCAAAAATTATGTTTCAACATTGACCTGTTAACAACAGTGAAAGGCGGTAGTTGTTTCATTCCACATTCAAAAACTTATAATTTCACTTTCATCTCTTTATAACAAACTTATTTGGAGACATTAGTTAGTGAAGTGTTCACTATAATGAAGCACTTGGTACATTGGCTTTGTTATGAGCAGGAAGCATACAATGTGTTCAATATTTCAGATACCGTAAAAACTCTAAAAATTCGGCCGCCTAATTATTTGCCGGGTTTCGGTGTTTTATTTACCTCCAAATTTTCGACTCCACTAAAATTGCCGACTCATTTTGATTCGAAAATTGCGACCAGTTTTGGTTTTCCCCCAAACGAAAAAAAAACGATGTGAGCGTCCAAACAGGACTTTCCCCGAAGGCATGAATCCGGGTTTCTGATTGACTGAGAGATTTTTATTTTATTGGTAACGAAAGTATATTCCAAACGAAGTTTCAAATAAAAACGAACACAACACACATCTTCTACATAGAAGCAAATAATCGTGGTTGCAAAATCCGGTCATGCTGCGTTTTTGAATTGTTGATTATTACTCAGTAGTGATTATAATAATGTACACAAAATAAATTTGTTGAATTGTTATGAAATACATACAAATAAAAGTCAACTTAGTTTCATCGTAAGTGAATGATTCTGGTCTCATATAAACGTTCGATGCTGTAGGATATTTTCATAGGTCAAGTAAGTCAAATCGCTAATTAACCAATCAAAAAGCTGGATGATGCCAACGTGTTCAAATTACCATAGCTTATTTAAATATGTTAGTTATTGAACGCAATGCGAAAGAGATTGATGTTGTAGTACGATCTTTTGGCTTGGATTTTGATGCGAAAACGACATGATTTTTTTTTAAATCAAAAAATAAATTGGGCATTTATTTTTTAATCCAAGGGCGAATTTTACGGCAGAATCTGGTCCCTCAAATAAGGGACACGTGAGCTTCGATTCTAACCAGATACATTGCACTGGGTCGGGGAAATAGTTTGCTAAACTTCCATGTATCTTTTGTCCAATGGGTACCTGTACTTCGAACATTCGCAGTTTTCCTAGGTAGTGCGAGACAGCTTTGTCTTTTGACCCATTAGTTTTGTGCTGACCTCTTCTCCGCGTCTCGATGTTTTGTTTTCCTTGTCATAACACTCACTGATTGATGACTTTGTTTTAATTTTGAGTTGTTTAGCCTACAACTCGGCCACAACCTTTGCTTTTACCGTGAAACATGGGGAAGTTTAGTCAATTGACGGACATTGCATTTTTTAAAAATTAACGAAACACACTGTCTATCATCCCCATTTTATCATTTGCTGATTTCTATTCTGAAAAATTCGACCGTCCAAAAATGCACCTTGATTTTGACTCTAAAAACACGTCACATTTCCAACGCAAATTATTTAAAACCGGTCGAAATTTTGGAGTTTTTACGGTAAACTAATTTTAAGGGTGTTCATTTAAAAAAAAATCATAATTTTTTGACAAAGTTAATTCCGCATTGCGTTATTGAGTTGAGAAGGTCCAGAAATGATACAAGTAATAAAATGTGCATATTTTTGTAACCATATCTGTTTCTTCATTTGTAAAAGTATTGTGGTCTGGAAATCAATGCTACTAATTTTGCAATTTTATTTTTTCCCAAAGAAACTAAACCTCCTAATCTGGCAAAATTGTTTGAGAGTGATGCTTGACTAGACACCAACTTCCTAAAAAGCAATTTTGGGTACTGTTGGTACTGCGATAACACTGGAGGGTTCATACTTTTGCATTGCCACATATACATGTTGAAAAATACATGTAAGGTAGTAACAACAGATACAGCGATTATTAATTAACTTATAATACGATTATAAAGAATCATAATGCTTTTACCTCAGTAACCTTGTTTGTTGTCTCTTTCTGATAGATGGATTGGTTTCAAAGGAGTGTGGTCTTTTCCTCTTTTTACCTGTAGCTATAGCTGCTGCAGCTGCTACTCCTATTGGACCTTACAATGGGAATACACAAATACTGGGATTTACATCACTGGATAAAACATATTTCACAATTCCCCCACCTTCCACAGTTGTAGTTTATATATAAATCTGGCATTAATTTCTAATTTATTACGAGTATACCGCTTATTCCTGAATAAACCATATACTCACTGCTGACCTAAATACTTTTCTAAAGATGAAAGACATTATATTATATCAACAGAAACCCCCAAAATGATTGAATATTGATGTACCTGGGTACATATAAAAGGTACTAATCAGTATTCTATAACTGTCTAAGTACTGTGAGCTTTGAATAATTATATTCCCCACGATTTAATTTAAAAGTTTACCAAACATGCTCAAATAATCCTGGTAAATACAGGTTCACTAACATATGATACACTAATATAATGATTTGAAAAAGACATCACTGTCAAAATAGTTCAACTATCTTTGTGAAGTCTCTTCCTCAACACAAAGTTGATAATGCTCTACAACGATGAGATATTAGCTATATCAATATATATCGATATATATCAATTATCAAACTGATAGTTTTTAAGATGAAGTCATTTATAGCAAAAGTTGATGCAGACAGACAATCACCTTCGATGACAGCTGAGCTAAAAAGCACCCATATCATGCATACATGATGAAACCAATATTGGGACATACCTGCAGCAGCTAACTGGGCAGTCACATCATCGGTAACATTGTTCAGCAAGTCTGTGTCATCAAATGTACTCTCGGGTGATGACGGCTCACTAATACCGGTATCATTTGACATCATCATGGTTGCAAAAAAGACTTCAGAACTACAAAAAGCGAATAAATTAGTCAATTTATGTAGAGCGTTACAAGATATGCAATACATGTATCTCTTTAATATTCATATCCACATGGATAACAGAAATTCCCCAAACTTTTATTCAAAAACATAAACCTAGTGCTTTTAGTAATAAATTTATGAGGTTAGTACCTGATATCACTTGTTCATAGAGCTGGATAATACGAGTAATGTCATTGGCTAGTATTATCCATGAACCAAATTTGGAAGTAGATAATACAGCCCATGACACCACAAGTTACTGTATTTTGAAAACACACTCAACTGAGATATCCTCCATTTCATAAAGGGCATAAATGTGATTTACATAAAATATTTATAAATAAATTTTAACTGATGGTGAAAAATGACTTCAGTTACACTGATCACAACTACTTGGTGCATATTGTCTGTATAGAATATTCCGCGTACATGGAAATAACTAGGCGAATATAGTATACTTTTCTATTTGTATGGTCATCAAAGACAAGGGCAAGTACCTCAGATTACATGAATTGCCACGAAGTACACCATAGACTCTGCAATGTCTGTTTATACTTAATTTATAAATCCAACTGTTTTCATTCAATTCAAACGCAACTAATAGATTGGCTAGAAACTGGTCTTTATTCCAGAAGTACTCCAACATAAACTGAATTTATAAATATTAATTTTTATAAATAAATTATATGTACCCGCCCTGTCCCTGACCTTGGTGGACTTGTATTCATTTATTTGATGCAAAATTTCTTGTAACAGGAGCTCATTGATAACTAAAATTGAAAAAAAAAATATTTGGGTTTCTAGCCCAATCACAAGATCTGTCTTGAAGTGTACAGTGTTATTTATGGGGTTTCACTGTCTCTTATGAATCATTTTATTGACCACCTTATTCTCAATTATTTAGCATGTAGTTTATTTTTAACATTCTATAATTGTGTCACTTTGTTTGAATTGTATTCCTGTTAGTTGGACTTTATGTAACATGTGTTGTGTTCCCAGTAAAATATCATAATATCTACCGATAAAACAGTGTCTCTTTTTTTACATTCATGACCTTGCACATGTATGGTTTTACTTTAAATCTAGTTAAGCCTATGCTGTTTGCTTAATTTAGATAATTATCAGTCACTTTCTAATATGCAGCAATTCCTGATTTTCGGAAAGGTTGACAGCATACACACCCAAGCATTCCAAACATCAACGACCTAAATTTACATTATAGAATGTAAATGCCATTGCAACTTCACAATTTCTGAAATATCGCCCGCCAGTGTAAGCGGTGACGATCGATTGTCGTACCTAACCTAAACAAGAACCGGGATTTTGAATACTGACCAAACTAAAGCTAATGCAATGAAGGGTGTAACGTTTGGACAAAATGAAAACATGTCCGCCATTATTTAGCAGGTATGTACGAACATTCGATTATAGACCTCTCTAATTGTTGAAGAAATAGAATTTGCAATCATTCGGGAGTACAACAAAGCAAACAGGACTACGCAGTCGTGGTCCGAGATCATCTCGAATGATTTACAGAATTGTGAATAGTTTTGGTTCCGCGACTGCGTGGTACACGGTGCTTGACAAGGACATCAGTCGACATGCGTGGAACAACATCGACCGGCGACGAACCAATTCGGTTACGGCCAATTGAGTAGCTCCTGAATTTCCGACATTTTTGTCTTTTTTTGCGTCTTGCTGTAGCAGCTAACCTATTCTATTCGTGTATTGAAGTGTGTCTCGAGCATCTGAGGTTATTCTGGGCCAATTTCGTGCCACGCTGTTGTAGTTTTCAATCAAAATTTCGTGGTTTTCAAAGCGTTGAAAAATTACGACAGTTTTTGTGGTGGTATTTGCGACTGCGCGAACATGGCGACCATCACGAAGAAGACAACCACATCGCCTGCTCCAGAAGATGTGGAAGTTATGATACAGTATGGTCACGGAACAAAGAGTCATTTGGATATTATGAACGTATATTATTGACCAACATCGGCCAACGTTTTATTTGACGTTTGGATCGTTTTCTCAAATCCACCAGCCATAATTTGCACATCGAAGTGAAAGAGAAGCACATTGTCACAAGTGCGGCTGCGCGAACAACAAAGAAGTAACCAAAGTGTGTCTCCGGGAAAATGCTATATTTGCGTCCAGAATGTCCGCAAGAATAATCTGCATGTAGGAAAGATTAGAACCATAATTTTGCCAGCATTGCAATTTGTGCGATTTTTATATACTTACCACAAATTATGTGTATTTTAATCCAAATATAGGTCTTATCTGTAAACTGAATGCGCGGGAGCCGTTCCAAACACAACCACTTCTGAGCACGCCAGTGAATGCTTGCTATAGGGGGGTCGAGTATTGCTCTTCAATAGGCGGATTGGAGTTGGGAGAATTTGTACCCAATCAGTTCAATTGACAGCCTTCCAAATGCAACACAGAAACCCTTTAGGGTGATGAGGTGATTATTCTATAATAAGCCAAACGCAGATATGTGTTGACTACACTATTGTACCCCAAATTAAATAATTAATTTTAATAAAGCTTCTGGTGGTTCCCATTTATTTGACACAATACTGGCCTCTACACATGTCAATTGTTTTCATCATAAATAAATAAATACACTTAGAAATTGTTATTAAAGGGTGGTGATCGTCGCACAGCCGTGTTCGAATTTCACGTAAACAATGTATTACATACGTTGTATTCGTCGCTATGAGTCTCATGTCGAACTGAAGACTGCGATGACCACAGCCCTTTAATTTCAATAAGTTTACATCGAAGGTTATTGAGCTCCCTGTATTCTCAAATTTCTGATTTTTACGTTTTGCGATATATAGGGTTTTATCAGCAATTTAATTTAATTTAATTTACATAGTTTGTAAATATATTTAAAATTTTTGTACATTTGTAGCTGGAAATATTCATGAAATGGATGCACTTTTGCCAAAAAAAAAGAGCTAATGTTATGGCCATGGGAAAACAATTTATCCCCTTAAACATAAACCCTGACCTAAAAACCACGTGTCCTAACACTCCAACCCCAATGTAATGTATATACCCCTGCAGATAACTACACATGTTCTGAAGAACGGAATACTGTATACAATGATTAAAATGGGGAAGGGCATAGTTCGGATTTAGAGTTGTTGGTGATGGTCGTGTTTTTTTTTTCTAGAATAGTGTATATAGTTCGACCATAGAGGTAAAAAGAACAGTTGTTTCCCTTGAAATAGTACGCGGCAACTAGTCTGGCATCCGATTATCGGTATCAAATACGGAGAGAATTTACTGGGGGGGGGGGGTGAATTTGCGTCTATGTATGGTAAACAATGTGGATAAGTATATTGACTTGTGTCGAACATTCGACGCGAGGAATATGCACATCTTAATTTTAACACATTTTGTTTAACATTTCCAGCAACAGTCAAGTTCTCATTCTTTCAACATTTTTCGCCGTCGTCACGCATTAAAATTAACCAAGAGTGTCCAGTGAATATGGCCATTCCCAAGAGTGTCCAGTGAATATGGCCACTCTTTAATGTCTCCATACAGATAGCTTACTATGAAAATGTTGGCATTGATGCCGTGAATAGTATACGATAACTCTGGTGCAACAAAGTGAATCATTATTATGCAAATAATCACCAGTATTTCTTAACACCAAATCTTTATGACGTCAGCTTCTCTTAACAGAACAAAAGGAATGAACCGAACGATTACATCACCACACGGTCCCTCAACACCTTTCTATTATCTCAGTGAACGGACGTTTCTAATGGCACCAATTAGCACCAAATCAGCAAAACACGTATGCACCCGTTTGGGAAATACTCAACGTCAGGGGCGGACTGATAATCTGTGTGTTCTGGAAAAGTCCGGAACGACCGTCTGGTCTACGGCCGTTGAGCCTCAGCACTAATTGTTCAGAATTACTGCTCAGTGTATTAAATTGTTTTTGGCAAAGTTGGTTACAAATAACAGTGGTATAGATGTGTTCTCTTTAAAATACAAACATAAAAGTGACTGTAATATGGCTGTATAAAAGACAATGTCTAGATGTTCATTTTTGTTTATAAGATGCAAGTGATGTTTAGTCATTCTAGATTATTAGTGTTCTTGAGTTCGTGAATAAACAATCATAAATGACTTTAAATTTAGAGAAGACAGAACTAATTCTAGTAGGCGATCAGAATGGGGGATGGGTGCTTCCACAGGGCTTATCGCCGTCTTTGGGTCCCGTTGTACTTGGGGTGTATGTAGGTCACGATAAATACGAAAATGAAAAACTTAATTTTTGGACAAAAATTATAAAAATGAAAGATAAACTTCAGATATGGAAATCGAGAGATTTAACCCTTCAAGGCAAAGCATTACTGGGCAAATGCTTCAGAGCCTCACAGTTAATTTACATTATGAATAGTATACCCGTACCAGTTAATGGTATTAAGGAAGCAGGCGCATATCTATTTAATTTTCTGTGGAAAGGAAAAAAACATCATATTAAGAACAATACCATGCTTGGCCACTTTTCTCAAGGTGGCGTTAACTGTTTAGATCTTGAACTAATGAATAAAGCATTAAAATTAACGTGGATATACAGAATATTAGAATCACAGTCATCCTGGTCTAATTTTCCAAACCATTATTTTAATAAGAGGGCTGGCCTTGCTTATGAATTGTAATTATTCGATTGACTCGCTCTCAGTCAAGATACCTATTTTTT